ATAATGTCGTGCCGAATAGGTAAAATTGGTGAATTAGCAAGAAGCAAAAACTCATTTAAAATTAAGTCCTTTCTAAAAATTTTTCTTATGTTTAAAGGTATATTTTTTCATTTGTGTTAATTAAAAAAATAATTTTGTACCAAAAGAACCTTAGAAAACTTACCTAGCCTTATTATAACAAGCGCAATTTAATTTAGGCTAATGCAACCAAATATATTTTAGATTAGTTTACAATAATTTAATAATAAACAAACACAATGAAATATATTTTTTTCGTTAGATTCAGAATGATTTTTACGAGATTATTGCATACACAAATTTTCGCTTGCCTTATTCGGCAAGAAGAGCGTTGCTGTTTAAGCCAAAATAGCAAGTTTTTACCTATTCGTCACGACATTTATAAAATATCAACCAGGATATGAAGCAAAGCCACCAACTCGCCACAAGGGCTGGTGACTCTGCCGCCTGAGCCACTCGGCTACAAATGCCTCGTAATATTGAGTGGCTAGCCAGGATGCCAGCCTTGTTACCCAGGAAGCTGGACACGTCAGCAGCCTCAAGCATTGTTCCTAGGTATTTTATTTTGGTCCTCTTCCTCTTGTTCTTCGTAGATATTTTATTCTGGTCTTCTTATTCATCTTCTTTAACTTATCGTGTTCTCCTATATCTTATATTAATAATCGTAGTTATCATGACTGATGATAATCATTATCGTATATAATATTGTTGATGGTGCCAGTGTTATTCTCTTGTTCATTATTGTAGATATTGTTAACTATTTGGATAAATTCTTTTAAGAACATAGTTATCATCTGCTTGAGAATTTACAATCTACCATTCAATCTGCATTCCATGGAAATTCTGAGTATTTTACTCATATCTCATTCGACTTTATTATTGTGTGTTCATTCTCACTTATGTGTCAGGTAATAAACATTTTCTGAAGCTCAGAGAAATAAGATTCTTATTACAGAAAGGTATTGATCTTAAAGTTAATATTTGTGTTATGACGATAGAGCAGCATTTTTTTTCACGTGCCTCTGAAGAGTTCTGAAGGCTTCTTTCATGCTTCTTGGAGCATCTTGATGCTTCTTGGAGCATCTTGATGCTTCTTGGAGCATTTTGATGCTTCTTGAAACATTTTGATGCTTCTTGAAGCATCTTTATGTTTCTTGAAGCATCAAGATGCTTCTTGAAGCTTGCAGCCCCTGCTTATAGTAATGTCGAAAACTTTGCTGAGATTTTTTTACAAGATCTCTACAGCTTTTGATAAAGCGGCGAAATCTGAAGAACTTGACGTAAAGTGTGTCCCAGGAGGTGATGCTTTGGATGCTGAGTGGCTCTGATGTTTTTTGTTTTCTCTGTATGTGTTTACACTGTACGGTTGTGCATTTACATTGTATATATGTATTTAAACTGGGCGTGTGTGTGTGTTTATAGTAGTGTACAAATTAATTGCGACAGGAGTAAATTTTGTGATTATCTCGCATGTGTTAGTCTTAAGCTTAATGTAGTTTGGGTTCTTTTCAGAAGAGTCGTCAATGCTACAACAGCTGTTGTTCTTTAAGGCTATTCCAGCAAGTGGGCTCCGTGAGTGAACATGGTTTCGCCAGTTCTTCATTTCATGATTACTGCTGAAATTCATGACGGATGTTACACCTAGGAAGCGTGGAAGTATTGTACATCTTAGGATAATATATGATTTGAGTATCAGGGACAGAGCGCGAAAATTTGAGCCTAGCAAAGTCATCTTTTGGTCGGTTTACAATAGAGATGACGACTTAGGTGATTGTGAATGCGCTACGTGGAGGTAAGATAATTGGATGCAAACGCAAGACACCTCACGTATGACAAGGTTATCTTAAGAATTAGTGTGAGGATCCAGAAATCCAGCGGAAAAATGATCTACAGAGAGATTTTGCTGCAGCGGCGGAAAATGTTGTTCTTCAAACTGTTCGACGATGGCTCTTTTGAATCTGGCAGATGTGCCAGGAAAGACGGTAAGGAAATCAATTTTGACTGCTGTGTGAAGAGAAAACGGCTTCGGTGGGCATTGAGCATAATGGATGGATGACAGATGAATGGAGAAAGTTATATTTTCGATGTGGCGCATTTTTAAGTACATGGTACAGATCAGTGGTAGTGAGCCGGAAGCAAAACGCGCGAACCTCTTCGGAGATGGACACATTCAAACAAGCGCAAAACATCCACCTAGAGGTTTTGGGGTGAGTTTTATGCTAAAGCCTGGGCGGGTTTAATTGTTAATAGGGAACGATGATAGTGGCAAATACAAGGCAATCTGGGAGCTCTATTTGTTTCCCATTGGATAGAGGCTTTCTGATGGAAGAGGGCTTTTTCCAGCTTTATCTTGATTCCTTGCCACACGTTCAGAAAGAAAAATGCATGTCAGTCTTCGATGAGTAGAGAGGGGGTTAAGCCTGAAAAACTCTTCTGCCTAACCAAATGAGAATCTATGGACAATAACCAAAAGCAGGAAACGCGAACAGGACTGTTCAACGGGAGGTGAATCTAATTTGCTGCCCTGTTATTGGACAATGGTAATCGACATGAAACTTGCAAAATATGTTCACAGTGGTCGATTTTATGCCAAGGGTTTGGTTAGCGGATGCTTATAAAACGCAAAGGCCTTGTCATATCTCTTGTTAAATAAATTATCTGTTCAAATCATTACCGTGTATTTTTCAAATAAACATTTATTTCCAAATAAATGTTCTTTTTTTATCACTTCAATAATATGCACACTACTGTACAGTGTGGCTGTGTTAAATTGTATATGTATACATAAATACAAAAAGGCACAATACCGTGACTGGAAACGATACACAATATCCCGCACATGAAAGAGAGGAAGCTAACGACAGACGTATGCGGTCCTGACTTGGGACCATTGCAAAGTTCACACTGTGTGACTTTGTCAATGGTCCAAGTCGGACCGAAACTGTCGTCGTTAGGCTTCTCTCGTTTATGTGCGGGGTGTATGTATACATTTACACTGTTTGTTTCCCTGCTTTGCTTTTGTTCGTAAAAAGTAGTAAACGGGGTATAGCAAACGCCCCCAGTGGAGGTAATTGCGTGCTCTTGTAAGTGCAAACGGAAGCCTGGTTAACGTAGTGTACTCTGGCAAGGACAGCTTGACTTTTCTGTCTCGTGAAAACACGTTACAAAATCTTACATTTTATTTTATTGGGGAATAAATATTGTTTTGCTCTTTTTGTAATAGTTTTAGACCTGTAATATATAATTTACTATTTAGGAGCATGCCTGGAGGAGGTTTCGGGGTCAACGCCCCCGCGACCCGGGCCGTGACCAGGCCTTGTGGCGCATCAGGGCCTGATCAATCGACGTACGAACCACAACCCGGCTAGTCAGGCACAACTTAGGTGCCTGTCCAGCTCCTTGAAGTCAGCCGGGGTCTATTGGTAGTAACCCTTATGTATGCAGGGAGACAGTTGAACAGTCTTGGGTCCCTGAAACCTATTGTGTTGTCTCTTAGCGTACTCGTGGCGCCCCTGCTTTACATTGGGGGGATGTTGCATCTCCTGTCGAGTCTTTTGCTTTCGTAGGGAGCGATTTTCGTGTGCAGATTTGGGACTAATATCATGTATCTTTTTCGCCTGCGTTCCAGGAAGTACAAATCAAAGGGCTTCAACCGTTCCTGCCTTGAAAGGGGCCGTTAGTGTACAGCAGTATTCCAGTCTAGAGGGAAGCGATTTGAAGAGAATCGTCATGGGCTTGGCATCTCTAGTTCTTCAGAACTAGAGATACCAAACTCATAATGATTCTCTTCATTTTCCTAGCAGACATCGTAGATATATTGTTGTGATCTTTGAAAGTGAGATTTTCTAACATGATTACTCCC